CCTTTTTTCTTTTCTTAATAGTTGACAACCAACATCACATTAATTTCCGTGGGGGCATGTGTGTATGCAGGTTTGTGAATGTGGGGGCATGGGTGTGTGCAGATTTGCGGGGGGGTATGTTAATCTGGGGTGTATGTGTGAGAGATTATTAAGTCACAGGCCGCTTTAATTGGCCCCACCTGGAGCTGTTGAGCGGCACCTGCTCGAGGCCCTGGGGCAGCTGAAGGGATGCCTCCATTGCCTTTGCCTTCTCCCTTCTGGGTAGGGGCTCTTCCAGGCATCCCTGGGGAAGTCATTTAGGGTCTGGGTCCATCCCGGGTCTGCTGTGTAACCTTGGGGAAGTGTCTTGCCCTCTCTGGGCTCAGCTTCCTCATCTGCAAAATGGGAATAATAATAATCATGGACTTGAGCAGGCATAGACAGGGGAGCGCCCAGCCCTGGCGAGCGCTCAGTGGCTGACATTTTACTATTGTTCTTACTGCTTTTAGTCGCCCTCACACTGCAGGGAGAGGGAGTCTGCTGCATCCGCATCTCCTCCCTGGGGCGCTTTCTACCATCCCCAGACCAGATCCAGCGGCCTCTGTCTCCCACAGGCACTGTCGGGACGGTTTTGATGGACATGTTTTTTGCACGGAAAAAAGCTGGGGGAATTGTATTTTGCCAAAAGTGTCAGCTGGAGAGAAAATATTTCCTGCATCTCTGGTGAGTGTTGATGTAGGAGAGCTAGAGTATTGGTGGGGGGCGGGGGTCTGAGGGTCCACACAATAGGGCTGGCTGCCCCCTGCCCCCCTATCAGCCGCCAACCACCCCCTCCCCAACCATGCCCAAGCCCAGCGCCCTCCTCTCTGATCTCTGCCTGGCTTCTCCCCTTGGATGGTCTCTCACATTCTCTCTCAGACACCCTCACCTCTTTCCTCAATGAGTAAATGAAATGGGAGCTGTGGTTTGAGTTCCTCTGGAGAAGGAGGTAAGTGGGAGGAGCACTCCAGGCAGAGGACACAGCTCGTGTAAAGGCCCTGGGGCAGGACCATGTATGTTGTGTTTGAGAAACAGCCAGGAGGCTCTTGTGGCTGGAGCAGAGTGAGCGAAGGGGAGAGCGGGAGGAGGCGAGAGCAGGGAGTGGACGTGGGCAGGTTGTGCAGGACCTTCGGGGCTGCGGGGCAGACTAGGAGTTGTATTCCAGGGGCACTAAGGAGCCCTGGGTCAGTCTTTGAGGGGAGGGGGGCACCAAGCAAGCACCCTCATACACATGGGGGCAGTGGAAGGTGTGGGCAGCATCCATGGAAATTCAAAGTAAACCAAACTCAGCCCCTGCCCCTGTTCTAGAGCTGGAGAGACGCTCCCCCTTCGTCGTGGCGTTGGAGCGCCAATAACTGGAAATCACTGGAAGCCGGCCACCAGGGGGCGCGAGACCCCCGCTGTCCGCGGAGGAAAACCTCGCGGCCCTGACAAAGGGCGAGGTGCCCCGTGTCGGGGACGCCGAGGGGGCAAGAGGAAGCTGCAGAACAGTGACGTGGAAGGAGAAAGCTCTGGAAGCATCTGCATCAAAGCGTCAACGTGCGTCACCCAAGGTAAGATTTATTTTGTTTTATTTTGTAATTGTTTTATCGAGGTGAAATTGACAAAATTAACAATTCAGCACAGTTAGTACGTTCCCAAGGTTGTACTGCCCTTCTCTAGTTCCAAACAAATTTTCACCCCAAAAGAAAACCTGAGACCACCAAATATTACTTTGTAAAATTTAAAAATATTTTTGCCCGGCCGGGCGTGGCTCAGCGGTTGAGCGTCGACCTAGGATCCAGGCGTTGGGGTTCGATTCCCCGTCAGGGCACATGCCCGGGTTGCGGGCTCAATCGGTGACTCTCTCATCATTGATGTTTCTATCTCTCTCTCCCTCTCCCTTCCTCTCTCTGAAAAATCAATAAAGATATATTAAACAATATATATATATTTATATATATATATATATTACTGTGGTTAAATATACAGGGGTGGGCGAAAGTAGGTTTACAGCTGTGTGTATGGAAAAACGTGCAGGTTATGATTATTACAAAAGCTTTATTAACCCTGTGTTTCCCGTACTCACAACTGAAGAACCTACGTTTGCCCACCTGTACGGGACCACTGCCGGCTTCTGCTGGCCCCGGTGCGCCTTAGCTTGTGGCATCACTCCCATCTCTGTCTCTGTCTTCACCTGGCCTCTTCTCCCTGTGCCTCTGTGTCCTCTCCTCTTACACAGACGGCAGTCACTGAATGTAGGGCCCACCCCAGATCCAGGGTGATTTCATGTGAGATTCTTAACTAATCACACCCACAAAGACCTTATTTCCAAATAAGGTCACATTCTGGGGTTCTGAGTGGTCATGAATTTGGGGGGACCCCATTCATCCCACTACATTATGTAAGGAACCTTATTGACAGGTTCAAGGATTAGGATGAGAGCATCTTTGGGAGATATTATTCTGCCTACCAAACCATTCATCCTGTTGTGTCCCTCCCCTGCTCAAAGCTTTCCCATGGCTCCCCATTGCTTTGGACTAAAACTCAAACTCAGACTCCTTACTGCTGCTCATAGAGCTCTGTGTGGTCCAGAATCTGCGCCCTTCTCCCACATCCCCCTTCCCACCTCACTCCATCTCCAAGCTGTTCTTCACACAGGCAGGTTGGTTCCTGCCTCAGGACCTTTGCACTGGCTGTGCCCTCTGCCTGGAACACCCTTTCTTAGCCTAGATCTTCACAGCTGCTTCTCATTGGTCTCTTTAGTGATGCCTTCCCAGACCACCTGAGCTCAATCTGCCCCAACCCCTCCACTGTCACTTACGATAATGTAACTGCCCAACTTGGCTCCTGTCCTTGCCTGCCAGAGTCTGTCTACCCACAGCAGCCACCAGAAAGAGTCTGCGAGCACCTGAGTCAGGTGTAGTTGCTCCTCTGCTCACAGCCCTTCAGGGCTCTCACCTTTCTCCTGGTAAAAGCCTAAGTCCTACCTACTGCCCATAAGGCCCTACACGACCTGCCCTGTCCCCTTCCTGCCCTTACCTTCTCCCTCCCTCCCCCTTGCTCACTCTGCTCTAGACACATGGACCTCCTCACTGTTCCTCCATCATGACGGGCATGGACCTGCCCAGGGCTTTTGCACAGGCTGTTCACTCTGCTTGGAGCACCCTTTCTCCAGATACTCACATAGCAACCTCCTTCACCTCCTCCAGGTGCCTATTCAAATGTCACCTATTCAAATGTCAGTGAGCCCCCCCCCCCCATTTATAACTTTCACTATCCTCCATCTTTGGCACCATGTATCTCCTTCCCTGCTTTCTTTTTCCCCATAGTATTTATTACCCCACATACCATACAATTATGTATCGTGGTTATTGCTTGTTGCCCAATATCCCCCCGGACATGCGCCCTGAGAGGGCAGAGCCTGGGTCTGTCTCCATCTCTGCTTGTCTGCAGCCCCAACTCAGGCCCCCTAGCAAAAGAAGGGACTCAGATGAATATCTGTGTGACATGCAGTGATATGTGTTCCATCCTGGAGCCTCAGTTTCCACATCTGTATAATGGGGTCCTGACCTATCTATTCTTAGGGTTGTTGAGAGTCTTGAGCAGCCCCCGCATCTGCAGAAGTGCTAGGCCAGCTGGGCTCTGGTACCCAGTAAGCACCTGACGCTTGCTTCCTTGCTCCATCACTGAGACCTGGCATGGGAGGTTTGACAGCTCTGCAGATGCCACTGGCTCAGGCTGTACCATCGGGTCAAAACACTGTCACATTTGGTAAATTGCAGGCAGGCTGCTCCCACAGCTGCAGAGCCAAGGAAGGGGGGATGTGACTGGGAATATCTCAGTCCCCCCCTTTTTTTAAAGAATAGTTTATTGATTTTTAGAGAGAGGGGATGGAGAGGGAGAGAGAGAAATATTGATGTGAGAGTGCAACATCCATGGGCTGCCTCCTGCATGTCCCCCAATGGGGATGGAGCCTGCAACCCCAGCATGTGCCTTTGACCAGGAATCAAACCAGCAACCTCCAGGTGCACGGGATGACACCCAACCAACTGAGCCACACTGCCCAGGGCCTCAGGTCCCTCTTGCGACTCAGGGCTGGGCTCAGAAGTGGAAATCTGGGAACCCTCCCTCCCCTTTTCTGGGTCTTGGTTTCCCCATATGCAAAAGAAGAGTCCTTGAGATCGTTGAGGCATCTCTGGGTTCAGCCATGCATGAGTCTCACAAACCCTTCTGTGGCTTTGAACTTCCATATGTAAAGTGCAAGGATGAAAGAAGAAATAAGGTCTGAGTATGGGGGAGGTAACCATCTATCTCCTTCACTGCTTCAAGGCCTAGCTCCTATGACAGGGCCCAGAGCTCAACAAACAGTAGGAATACCCCTGTCATGATAGCTACATTGATTGGGCACCAACTGTATACCTGGTCCCACATTGAGAACTTTATCAGGATGTTAGGTCTAATTTAGGCCTCAGACAGCAGCCTGGTGACATAGGATACAATTTTATGCCCATATTACATATGGGAAAACTGAGGTCACACAACCAAGAAGTTGTGGAGGCTGAATTGAACCCAGGTCTCTCTTGATCCCAAGTCTGTGCTCTAAACCACCACACTCTACAGCCCCAGGAAACTTTTGTCAAATAAATAAATGAGTGTTGATTAAGCCTCTGGGAAGGAGGAGGGGACCCTTGGCCACTTTTCATAATGGCACAAGGGCCTCCAGTTTTCCCCAATAATAAGCCCAGGCCCCCTGCTACTCCCTACACCCTCCCAGCACAGCTACCACCTTGCAAAGACTCAGTCAGTCGGGGAAACTGATTCCTTCCTTGAGCCTGGGGCCAAAGGCTTCCCCAACCCCCCTCCCTTCTCCTAGAGACCCCTCTGGCGGGAGGAGTAAAAAAATTACAGGAGAGGACGGGAGGGAAGAGAAGGGGGAGGGCGCTCTCCATTTGTCCACCTGCAGCCGCCTTTAAAGAAAAGCAAAATATTAACAAACGAGCATGCCAGCCCACCGGCTGCATGTGAGTGTGTGCGCGTGTGTGCGCGCACGCACGGATCTATGAAATATTTAGGCAGCGCCCAGTGTGTTTATGGCCGTGATTAATCTTGTGTCTGGTTGGCAGAGAGCAGAACGTTAAGAAACGACTTTCCGTGGCCAGACTCCTTTCCCAGGATGGGGGCGGGTAGAGGGTGGAGAGGAGGAGAATTTGGGAGGCAAGCTTGTGGCCCTGGACTCCTGCTTCAGGAAGCTTCTTCTAAATTCCCCTATCCTGCCCTGCCTGTCCCCCACCCCCCTGATGGCCATGAAGTCCCCAACCCAGCTGGTACTCCCTGTCCCCGGGCCCTGGGCTAGGTGATTGTTTTGTTTTCGTTATTTCATTTTGTCTTTGTCGCTTTATTGGGATTTAGCTGGCATACAAGAGACTGCAAATACAGGGGTAGGCAAAAGTAAGTTAAATTAAGGACACGAAATAATAGCAAGAAGAAGAAGAAGACAAATAATACAAATAAATAATACAGTAATTAACAAATGAATACTACAAGAATAAACTGCGTTTCGCGTACTCACAACCTTAAGCCTAGTTTTGCGCACACGCACCCGTACAACCAGCGGGACAGCGAACGCGTTCGTTGCCCCCAAAAGGTCCCTTGGGTTTTTTGTCACCGCCACGGATCTGCTTTCGGTAGCTCTGAATTCATTTGCACTTTCCAGGCAGACACTTGTGTGCCTGGCGTCTTGGGCTCGGCGTGTGGCTGGGGTTTGTCTGAGTTGCTGCGTCTCTGCGCCTCCTTCCTTTTTCTGACTGAGGAGTGTCCCCTGGTTTGGGTGGACTGAGGAGTGTCCCCTGGTTTGGGTGGACCACTGTGTGTTTATTTGCTCACCTGGGTGGACAGCTGGATGGTTTCCAGTTCGGGGCTGTTACGGACAAAGCTGCTCTGAACATGTGGGGACCAGCCTCTGTGTGGACACGTGCTCTTGTTTTTCTTGGGTAAATTCCTAGGAGTGGAATTGCTGGGTCATAGGGTAGGTATGAGTTTCACTTTTTTTAAAAAAAATCTTCACCGGAGGATATTTTTTCTATTGCTTTTCAGAGATAGTGGGAGAGAGAGAGAGAAGAGAGGAAGGGGGGGGAGAGAGATGTGAGAGACACATCGATTGGTTGCCTCCCACATGCTCCCCAGCTGGGGTCAGGGATTGAGCCTGCAACTGAGGTACATGCCCTTGGCTGGAATCGAACCCAAGACTCTTCAGGCCAGGGCAATGAGTTTCACTTTTTTGTTTTTTTAAACTTAGGGAATAATTTATTAGTTCCTGTAATCAAACTCATGCAGATTAAGACCTTACATATTTAATACAGTGCATTACCCCTCTACAAATGGAAAAAATTATGTTGGACATTTCCAGACCAATATGGCTGTTAACTTCTGTACAATGCCAACCCAACACAGGACAACTGGGATAGTTTTTCCAAAGTTGACAGCACAGCTAAAGTTTCCAAAAATTCAAATTATATATGTATGTGTATATATATTCATTTATATAAAAAGACTAATAGCAGCATGTTATGCACCAATAGCAGCAACAGCTCTTCCAGGTTTTGCAGTCACCTGAACAAAATTACAGCGATGTCCAGCACACTCCATTAGAAAAAAAAAAGGTAAAAATAAATCCCCAGAAAACAGCAAAGTTCTGTTACTGTTGTGGCACCTGGCACCATTTTTTTTTTTATTAGCTTCTCCATCATCATCTGGAAAGAAAACATTCTAGAATAACATCATTAAAAACAGCTCTGATAAAGCACGGTCACTGCTCCGTATCATAAAGCAGGAACCAGATATTTTATATCCACGGAGGTATGATGCAGCCCTGCCCCGCATCTACACTACTAGGGATACAATTAAAAAGGCATCATTTGAGACTTGATTCTGTTGTCCCAGCAGAGGCCCCAGGGTGGAACAGCCCGGGGAAGAAACGCACCTTCTCAGACAGGCTTTCCTTTCATCGGTGGCACAGTTCTAGGTACTGACTGCTCTTCATGAATATCACCTACAAACTGTTTAAGAAAGACCAAAACAAATAAACAAAAACAACACCCCCCCCATTACACCCCATTGGACTCATACAAAGATGACCGAGTGGAGGTGGGCAAGACTTGCCCTAACACAGCCCTACCACAGAGCCTTTGCACCTGCTGCCTGAACCCCACTGCCTGAACCCTCAACGCCTGCTATGCACATGGGCGGCTCCTCCCCCTCCTTCAGGTCTCAGCTCAAAGGTCACCTCTTCAGGGAAGCCTCCCTGATTTCCCCATCTAAATCCGGCCCAATCAGGCCCCTCTGTGGTACCCATCGCCCTATTATTTCTTCCCTCCAGCCCTTTTTGCTCTTCTAGATTCTATTTTGTATTCTACTTTTTAAAAGGTCCATTAACATTTACATAGGATTTGCTGTCTGCCCCGAACCTCACTCTACACCCCACACCTCTCAAGGGTGGACTCATCTAAACTTTTTATAACTTTGTGCATCAGGTACTATCAATAGCTCCATGTACAGATGAGGAAAGTGAGGCACAGAGTAATTCAGGCAACACAGCCAGGAGACATCTGAGGGCCAGGGTATATGCTTATAGTCTGTCACCTCCACAGGACAGGCCTGATCTGTCCACAGCTGTCTTCCCAGTCCCAGCACAGGGTGCAGTTCAGCTGGGTAAACAGCCCTATTTTTACAGATGAAGCAGCAGAAACCCTAGGGGGGCGGTAACTTGCCCAATGGCCAGGCTGGCTTTGAACCTGCACGTTGGACCTGACAGCCCTGTGTTCTTTTCCATCCCTAAAACCGAAACCAGGTCCCCCAACTGTGAGGCCTGAGCCTCAGCGTGGCCTCCGCGGGTGCTGGCTCAGACTGCGAACAGATGCTCGCTATTTTAAACCCACTGTTTAACTCATTAAGACAGCTGTTTCCCATCCCCAAAGTCGGCGGAATTAGAATTAAATTCATTCCAGAATTAAACACACACATACACACGCACATACCCCACCACCATTTGGAGGCAAAACTTGTTAGCATTTAGGCAAGCTGTGCCTTCGAGCCTGGGGACTCGGCTCTGCTTCCGCCTGACAACTCGCATCACAGCCCAGTGGTTGCCAGCTGGGCCTTTGGCCAGAATGCCCCATGGGTCCAGTTTCCTACGTCTGCCCAGGCCTCTGCCATTAGAGTCCAGCTGCCAGTTGGGCGACCCCCCTGGGTTTCTCCCTGACCCCCCAGACTCAGTGAGGCCCACATAAAGATCAGTATCTAGTCTTCATCTTGGCGATGGCCATGCCACCTCTACCTGCCACTCACAGT